TGCATTTGACTAGAGAGTTAAATGGAATTATTTATCTTTGTCCCACTTTTCAGTGGGCACCTATCAGGTCCCCACAGCAAACAACGTAGTACACACTTGCAGGAAGGTTTTACTTTATTGAAGCCATGAAGCACATGAACAGGGTCACTGTTCAGAATAACGAAAACCCAAAAGGCATGAAAGGTTAAAGCAAGTTCATAAACATAACAGCCAATAAACACGGTTCCCGCGCGCGGCTAAGGGGTCTCACTCGCGCCTAAACCTTGGGAAAGCAACGGCTACCTAATTGTAAATAGATATGCTATTCCCACGGCTTCAGCTAATTAAAGTCAAAGCAAGCTCGTCTGCTCTTCCACCTGTGGCCTTGGTGAGATAGCGTTACATCAAAGCAGGAGTGGCTTACTCTGAAAGGAATCTATGGCTACTGGGGAGATGTGCGCATGACCAGACAAACGCATCTACGGGGGGTGGGGGAAGAACCCAATGAAGAAATGGGTGAACATATACATATAGAACAGAACCTTTGGCAGCTTGCTGACAGCACCATGCATAAATAAAAATGGCATAGGCTTTGCAGTAGACATACAACCTAAAAGTCAACACACACACGAGAAAGGGATGAAAAATGTAGGAGGAAATTAGGTTGACATTGTCAGAACACAGTGATGAGTTGTTAACAAGCATTTTCAAATGGAGCAAAGCTCATCTCCTTTTTTGGATGGTCTTGCTGAGATGGAGCTGGTTAGTAGTCATTTGGAGCTCTGTACTAACTCTAGTGGGAAACTAAAAGACAAAACAAATGAAAGTGTTCTTTAACTTGCACCACTTCTTCTGCAGGCATTATGTTATGCTATTATAGACAAGAAGTAGGGACCCATGATACTCACAGGAAAGTGGGGGGGGGATTCCTTTCCTCATGATAATAACCCCCCCCATCACCATGTCTGGAGCCTTCTGCTCCACGCCCCCTTCCTCCTTCAAGGCAGGAAGGAGGTAAAAGGAGGAAGGGCCACAGGAGAAGCCGTTTGCCCCTGGGAAGCGTCTGCAGAAGTTGGCTCTCAAGGCGCTGTCAGCCGCTTGGGTGCATCTCTGCAGCATTACTGCAGCGCTTCAAACACTTTTATCCAGGGGTCGTTTTGGGGGGGAACGCGAGGGTACGCTGTTCCCCCGAGTGAGGTGCGGGGGGGGCACAGGAAGCCGGAGCCGGCGCGCTGTGAAGGAAGGAAGGCGCTCCAGAGGAGAGCCGGGTTGAAAAGAGCAAAAACCGCTCGCCTTGCCCCAGCTAGGGGCGGCGGCGCAGACCGACGGCGAGGAGCAAGCCGAGGCCCCTGTCAGAAAAAGCAAGAGCAGGTTGAGGGGGAGAAAGGAAAGCGGCGGCTGCGGTTCGGCTCGGCGCGCGCTAGTTCCAACTGCGTCTCAGCAGCAGCGGCAGCAACTCCTTGGGCAGGCGCGCGTGCGGCGGCACAAACCCCGCCGCGCCAGCTCCCTGCGCTTTTGCGGTCCATTCTCTTTCCTCTGCCAACAGCCCCCAGAACAGCGAGGATGTCCTTTCCTCTTCCCCCGCTCAGCTCATGTGAATCACTCTCTTTCTTCACCCGGAGCTCATTGGCGCCTGGGTGCATCCCTTCCACCACCTGAACTGGGGGAGGGGGGCAAGAGAGCGGACGGAGGCGCGCGCACACACACACACACACACGCCCCCCCACCTAGAGGCCGCCCCCTCCACTCTCCGGGTCTTGGCATTGGCTGCCGTTCGATGGGTGCATCCCTTCCACCACCTGAACTGGGGGAGGGGGGCAAGAGAGCGGACGGAGGCGCGCGCACACACACACACACACACGCCCCCCCACCTCCAGGCCGCCCCCTCCACTCTCCGGGTCTTGGCATTGACTGCCGTTCGATGCTCGTCAATCAGCCAACCCTCATTGGCTGAGAGGTTTGACTTCCTCATGCATAGGCTAGCGGAGGGAGGTGATTGGCCGGAGAGCAGCTGGCTCTTTCTCTCCGGTTTTGTCACTTTCCCCCTCCTCTTGTCGTTCTCTTCCTCCTGTGAAGGAAAGAAGTTTTGGCGGGTACTTTGCAAAGAGAGAGCTGCGAGAGAGGGCTTCTGGAAACAAACTTGCAGAAGGGATTGGTGGTACAACTAAAGAGGGATAACGCCCTGTAGGGAACAGAAGATAGAATAGAACTGGAAATAATACATGTCAGTAGGTTGTGCAGAATAGAATTAGAAATAAATATACAGGCGGTAGGAACAAACTCAAGAAGTGCCTGGGTAAGTCCGTTCACATAACTGAACGATCGGGGAATACTCTTCATGGTAGTGCATCGCATCAGTCAACAATATTTATTTATTTCGATATTTATACCCCGCCTTTCTCCCCAGTGGGGGCCCAAAGTGGCTTAAGTTGCTCCCTCCTCCTCCATTTATTCTCACAACAACAACTGTGTGAGGTAGGTCGGACCTAGAGAGAGTGGCTAGCCCAAGTCCCTCAGCAGGCTTCCATGGCAGAGTGGCAATCTGAATCCGGGTCCCCCGCGCCCCCCCTCCCGATCCTACTCTGACGATGACATCACACTGACTCAGGCAACTATTGTAGGGGGAAGTGCTGATCCGTTAGAAACACCCCAGAGAACAGCAGCGCAGCAAAACGTTACTACTTTTATTAGGACCAACGAAAGCTGTCACAAAGCAGTGAGCAAGTTTTTGCAAGCTCCCCAGTCAGCCTGAACTTTTGATATACAAGGGAGGGGTGGGAGACAAAAAGATATTTCAGGGCATAATGGAAACAGCCCAAAGTCTGCGATCTGTTGCCTTCTTGAAATGCCGACAAGGAGGTGCTGTAGATGCAGTTAGATCAGA